GCATGTCTTTTGTGCGAAAACTCAATGTGTACAAGGCGAGCGGTTTGGCAATGTTCCGTACGTCAGACTCAAGCAAGCGTCGGCCTGAATGTCAAAGGTCCAGACGCAAGGAGCAGCCCGCGGCTCAGCGGGATCTCCCCAGAACCATCACGATATGGGCACAGCTGGCACGATTTGCTTTGGCGCTGCTCGACGGATCGAGGGGGGCGGAAGGAAGAGCGAGGAAGAAGAAGAAGGTGGTGGTCGTCGTCTTGCGGCCCGGGTGTCACTTGGTCTCGAACAATTCCGATGAACCTTTTTCTCGGCATGCCGTTGGTTTAATTTCACGTCGAGAACAAGGACGGAAAGGTTCATGTCCCGTTTGATCTGATCTCACCAAGGCTTCAAACAAAAAGGATAAAACAAGGAACAAAAAGAAGACGTCTTTCTGTTCTTGCACAGGGCTCCGAAGATGAGGGGCGCCTGATTGAAAACGGAGAGGCGGGTAGAGCTGGAGATTGTCGAGTTGGAGGACAAGTTGAGTTTTGTGTCGGTAGTGTGGTGTCATGCTATTTCTGGCTGCGTCGCTGCATTGTTTTGCCTGCCTCTTCCTGCGCGCGGGCAATAGTTCCCGTACGACACATGCGCCAACCATGCGGGACGACCTATCTTTACCAAGGTGGAGGGTCAGCGAATGGTAGGTGAGTTGGGGAGGAGCGATGGATTTGTGATTTGGGGGGCACAGCGGTGCGTTGTTTGGCTGGTTGTTCGTGTGCTTTGCTTGATTGCCTGCTGCTTGCCTGCATGTCACCGCAGGAAGCTCCTGTAAGAGTTGTGCGTTGTTGGTGTAACGTGCTTCTTACACACAGGATTTTTGCTGCTTCCCTCTTTCTGCAAAAATCCTCCCGAGACGTCCGTTACGCTGGCTATGTTGGCAGAGAGGAGCAACACAGGTGGTTGGGAGGATTGCTCTGGATCCGAGGGCATGAGTGTGCGCTGGCTTGGTCGCGACATCTGTGCAGTGGTCGAAACACGGTTCGAAAGATGCGACAACCTCGAGATTGAGTTTAGATGGGCATGAGTTCGGGGAGAGGGGCCGGGTCGGAAGGGGAAGTGGGACTGAGGTTAGTTAAGGTGCGGGTTTGAGCGGCGAGGCGTCGAAGAGAGTGGTTGAACGAGGTTGGCCATCGCGGTGCCGGCCATGTGTTGTACCTCATCCCATCGCGGCCGTGGTTGGCAGGTTTTGTTGGCCGTATCATGGGCCTCGAGCGCGCCATCTTATCTTTCTTTGTGCGAGACGTATGCGAGAGATGCCGACGGAAGACAGGGCTGGTAGATACAGGGCCAATGAATCATCTCATCACAGCCGGCAGGTTTTCAGGACCGATTCCGAGTACACAAGACGCATAGAGGCCGGGCGGCGCAACCATTGTATCCCATATGCAATTCCTTGGAGGATCCGCTGTGAAAATGCAAGGCGCTCCGGTGGCGGGGTAGACATGTGCGGGAATAGTATTTGGGTTTGTGATTGGTGGTGGTGCATTGCTGCGCCGGGCTGGGCTTTTCGTCGCTTCAGTCTGCTGGCCTCACTGTGAGAGTTGATTCGTGAAACTGCGAGTTGTCAAGGTGCGGGGGAACAGCCTGTCAGAAGAGACGTAAAGCAAGAATCAGTTGTGGTTGTTGGCGCCAGCGGTGGTGGTGGTGGTGGCGGCGGCGGACCAAGTACGCAAGTCGGAGCTAGAATGCAGGGCTCTGAGTCGTCGAATCGTCGATGATGGGAGCGGATAATGAGCATTAACTTGGACATCCATGGGTGAAGCGGTGTTGAACACCAGCCATGACGATGACGAACCTCGGGCCGCTTTGCTGATGTCTCTGAGTCTCTCTGGCTCTGGAGTAACGGCAAGGTTTGACTTGGCGGGATGACTTCGCATCGACTCATCAAGATCGACAGCGGTTTTACGATGAATGCCATGTTGTAATTTGGCCTTCATCTTGAGTGAGGAGACAAGCGCTGAAATTGGGATATTTCTAGCGTCAGACACAAGCTTCTTCCTGTTCGAGTGAGGCATTTGGCGATGATGATTGGGGGAAAGACCGCGTCATATTCGCAGGAGGCAGGATTCTGTGGGGATGCCGGGCCGGAAGGTTCAAGTTGATTGACTTGATGATTTGATAAAATCTCTGACGTTTGCGAGTGGTGAATGGTGTGGCCTTGGACGGGCGGAAACCATGATTTGCTTGCTTGCTGCCAACGGAAACAAGAACTGTGCCCGAACGTCGTTTCTTGCGATCGATCCCATTCCTCGTTCCCTTGGCTTCGTTGGCTTCCTCTTCTCGTTCGTTCGCATGGGGATGACATCCCGTGAACTGCGAACCCGACTAGGAATAGTCTGCAGACGGACGGTGAGTGGTCAGAGCCGGGATGGGGGTGGCTGGGGATGGAGACGGGGGACGGCGCCGGATGCTGGGGGTGAACGGGGGACCTTGACATTGACAGCCCTGGGTTTTGGCGCATTTTCATTCGCAGACTGTTCGCTTTTGGCTTGACGCAGCGCTGTTTCAATTCGTCGACGACGGGTTCGACCTGTGCCCCTCCTCCCAGACAGACCCCGACGGACTTCGTCGCGTTGTTGGCGGTCGTGTTCCTGCGTATGGTTTTCTTTGGTGCTTTCGTCCTTCTCGGAGCGAGCCCGGCTTCTTTGGTTATGCATCCGCAAACAGCACAACCAGACTGCTGGGAAACTTCAGATCCGACCTGCTTTCGCCACTAGGGAGCTGAAGAAGTCGTAATCGTCAGCAGGCGGGCTGCCATGTTTAGATGATACTGTTCCGAAGCAGAATACACTGAGGGTGGCCCGCCAACCGTCCAGTTTCTGTGTGACCGTGTAAGGTTGTGCCTGTCGTGTGCGCAGTCAGCCGGAACTCAGGCCCTGGACGCAAGGTCTCTGTAGAACTGGGTCGTTTCGGTCCTCTCTGGAGTCTGGCCGCTGCGTCCATCCCATCTTATCCCATCAACCTCAGACCGTTTTTTTTTCTTGCTGCTCTTGCAGCTTCTGCTTCGGTGTCTTGGCTGGGCGCAACGTAGGATTGCCAGACACACACACTTGTTGCGTGTGTCTGCGCGCGCGTATGTGCGCAGCAGGCGGGCGAAGGACTCGTGTATGTAGGTCACGTTCTTTTGCGAACTGTGCTCGGCGTTGAGGAGAAGTTCGCTGCTCAGCAGAGGCAACCCATGTCACTGCCACTGCCAATGCCAGCGGTAGTCCAGTACCACGCAACGGGTTGTTGTAGTTGTACCTCGTCCTCCACCGCAAACCGCTCTTGCGTCTTCGTTCGTTGAGGTCCCTTTGCCTTCCCTCGCCTTCGGTTTGCTTCCCACCATCGCTTGCACGGCTTCGCCCTGCCTCTTTGCCCTCCGGCGACGTCAAATCCCCGTCCGTTCCACACCGTTGAACCCCGGGCCGGACCCAGAAAATAATTCATTAGTTTCAATCGTTTGGATCTCCAGTCTTGGGTCTTGAGGCCTCTCATTCGGCCGTCCGAGGTCCACGAACCCGCTGTTTCTCTCACATCAGAGGTAACGCCCGTTCCGAGGGAGACCCTTGGTGGAAAAAGCCGCAACATCAACAAACCATGATTGCATTGTAAACAAACCCAACCCAGACAGAAAAAAAAAATAGGATAGAGGCAAGTCCTTGGCTCAGATACAGGCCGAAAACAACCTTTGAACAAGCAGCTTCTGAGCCTGTCCTGAAAGCCCGCAACCTTAAAACCGGTCAGCGAAAGGTTCCAAAGGCGCCACACCATTGCTTCTGCTCTAGAAGGGTGACCCCTCCTTTCTCTGTCAAAGTCTCGTCTCGTCGCTGTTGCTGCTCGGTCGGTCGGTCACCTCTGATCCTTCCTCCGGGCGCGCATTTCTTGGTTTTCCCCCACGTGCTCCATGCCAGTTGGGAAAGGAATGAGGCTGAATCAGGCGTAGCCAAGCGGGTTGCGGATACTCGGCGCACTTTTGGCGGTGGCCTGGGCTTGCTGCGGTGTCTCTGGCCTGCTGCCGATGCGCCCTTGTGCAGCTGGCTCTGGCTCTGGCTCTGGCTTGCTTTGCTTTGGGGGGAGGTGTCTCTTGTGTCTCGTTTCCCCGTTCTCGTTTTCCCTCCCCTCATCTTGTTTCTCCGCTGGGTTCGTAGTCCGTCATTATACGACTTGGCGTCATTGTCAACGACAAGAGCCACGACGTCGACGGCGACTCTGTTGGCTTCTGGGAGCTTCGGGCTGAGCCGACCTGGCTTGCGGTCACTGATTCAGTCGCTCGTGGGCAGTTGGCAGTGACTTGCTGAAAGCGAAAGGTGAGGCAGGCCGAGACGACCGCCACACTCTCTCCGTCAAGTCAATCCATCCATCGATCCCCAATCCTGGCCCGTTCCATCCCATCCCATCCCATCCATCCCATCCGCCTTGGGACTCCGCCCATTCCGCTGCGTCAGCCTGTCGCTCCCACGCTTCATCTCGCCCATTAGATAACCCATAACCCCCCCGGCGCCGCTCATCTCGCTCCCCCTCCCATCTGGGTCCAACTCTCACCGTATGTTGAATGATATGACCGACGCGTCTTTGACCCTGGGGATTTAAGGCGTGTGCTCACCGTCACCTCCACAGACACCCGTCTCTGGCACCGAACCATTGCTGCCGCTCGTCGTCGCTGCAGCCGCCTTCTTCGTCGTCACCCTCATCGTCGTCGTATCGCTCCTCCGCTGTTCCGATCTATGCATTTCGACTGGTGTCTGTTGCCGTTGTAAGAGAGAGGCGTCTCCGAACCGGGGGAGCGGTCTGCCGGCCGGTCTGCATGGTGGAGGAGTTCTTCTGGTCTGGCTGTTCGCCGTCGCCAATCGCCAGTTGGACAGCCCGCAAACGACAAACAGACCGAGCAAGAGGCTGTGGTCGCATGCAAAGGAAGAGCGAGAGGGTCAACAAGGGCAGTGCGTAGGAGACGTAGGAGAGAGGTGTAGACCAAGACCATCGCGATGGCGTCGTATACGGATTTGGCGGCGTCGGCGCCGGGCAGCAAGCTGTCGAAGCCGCGCAGCAAGACGGCGGTCAAGCCAATCCTGAAAAAGTTGTCGCACTCGGAAAAGAACTCGCTGGATTTGGATCGGGGTTGGGATGAGCAGACGTCGTTTGGCAACTATAGCGGTAGTCTGGGGAGGGAAAGAGAAGGATCTTTCGGAGGCAGAGACGTCAGCTTCAGCATTTCGGCGACGGAACTCAACACTGGCAACAGCAACGGAAGGAGCAAATTCAGCCACGCCCGGTCAACCAGCGGCACCTCCCACGTCAGTATAGCGACCAACGGCAGCGGCCAAAGAAACGGCAGCTTCGTCCACCCTTTTCAGCAGACACCGCGCACCGCAACACCGCCTCTCTCGTACGCCAACTCATTCACCAGCTTCGAGCAGGCCACCGGTACCAGCGGCCCTCGCGATTACTCTCCGACAATCACAGAGGACGACGACGATCTGCTTGACCAACAACAACAAGTATACAATCACCACCGGAGCAACTACGCGACGCCTTCCTCCACAACCACCATCCTCAACAGCAATCCTACCTCATATCCTCGGCGCCCGTCACTAACAAGTCGCACCTCATCTCTATCTGACATCCATACCACTGGGCCTCCATCGCTGCGCATCAACACCAGCCGTACAAATTCCAACGCTACGTCATCGCGGCTGGTACACGTCTCTAGCCATTCCGACATCAATATCACCGGCCGGAAATCAGAATCCGCCGCCGCCGTCTCCAGTACAGCACCTACCTTTTCACCATTATCAACGGCATCTCCATCAACATCAATGTCTCCGCTCCGCACCTCTCTGGAGGGCTTCCGCCTTCGCTCCCGCTCCGAGCTCGACTCCAACTACCACCAAGAGCGCATCCGAGAGGAGCGTCGCCGTTGGCAGGAGAAGGAGCGCATCAAGGATGCCAAGAAGGCCAAGGAGGACCAGCGCAAGCAAGAGCGCGCCAACTTGAAGGAAGCGCAGCGCTTCGAGAGGGAGCAACAGATGCTGCACATGGAGCAGCAGGCCCAGGCCAAGCGAGAGGCCAAGGAGGCTGCCCACAAGCAGAGCTTCAACAGCGCTCGCAACAGCTCCAGCGACATTATCCGCCCCTCCATCAGCCGCAAGAAGACAGCCCCCGACGCGGAGAAGCTGGCCATGGGCGAGCTCGGATTTGCCAGCCGTAACTATGAGAACACCAACCAGGGCCAGGCTCCCGTTGCTGCCGCCGACAGCATCATGGAGGGCCCTCGCCGCTCCCAGACGGCCAAGCGCAAGACTCAGGGTGCCTGGACCAGTTTCGTCTTGTGGTTCCGGACTAGAATTCTGCGCCTCAACAACATGGCCAAGCGCTGAGCAACCATTCGATTCCTCTATCATCTGTTATGTCAGCATGCGATGGATTTCTCCCACAGAGAGGCCCATCGCATCATCGACCGCGCCTATCCCAATTATCACGGAACATGATACACAAGCAACGGCTTCCAGCATGAATAAGACAGATTCGACTTTCATGACACGGGCAGACAGGACTTGTCACCTGCATTTTCATTTCATCATATACCCATCCCCCCCATCATCATCATTACTACCATCACCTCTTTACGCGCAATGCCTCCTTTGACGACACTGGCAGTGCCCTTTCAGAGGCTTGGGTACTTTTTCATCATTATTATTTTCACGCTCTCATCCCAACGATTATGAATGGAATTCACACGAAGTCTCGGCACGGGCAGATGAGCAAAAAAAGAAAAAGGTTCTTTCTATTTCCTTTGGTTTCTTTTCATGGATCGGCAAGGCGTTTTCGGATATGGCTCCTATCTCAGTGGTACGACACAACAACACCACCACCACCCTCCAGGAAAGGAAGGGGGATCACTCGCTTGGGTGCCGTCAGGAAGCGGCTTGGACAGATACCGGAAGGGACCTCAGCCCACGGGCTTGAAGAGGGACCTCTGATTTGGGACGGCGTTTGGTTCTAGCGAGCGAAATGGGCATGTCTGGCCTGGAATAGCGACGTCCTACGGGACAGCTGGCCGTATGTAGAAGTATAGAGTCAAATGGATTGGCTCCGTCAGGGCACTCTCATCATATTTTCCCTCCATGTGACGCATCCCGATTGACCGACGCCGTGTCCAACTGGGCCAATTTGCGGTGAGGCGCAACCTTCATCACATTCCGCCGACATAGAGGCTCTTCTCGAAGTATCCCTTAACCAAGCACCTCAGCTCTTAGCCTTCGCTAGCGGGATGGCGGGGTAATGTGTTTTGACACAAACGTTTGACGCCCCTAGCGCCCACAAGCCGGGCCATCGTGGGAAACGGGCGATCATGGGAGACCCTGGAATGCAGAACACGGCGCGTTTGGAGCGCACGTATATCAATCTTATGGTTGTTTCCGGGCGTGCGGGGGCTTGCCGGTCGCGGTTGCGACGTTCAATCTACGTGACGCAACGACACTCGAAACGATGGGATTTTGCGTCGTTGAGGGAACCCCCCACGACGGATTCGATCCTACCTACCTTATTCCATACCAACGCGAAATATAGGTTAGGCAGCCCCGACGGGTTGGAGAGCCGGTTCTCGCGGTGACAAGTGGTAGCGCCCGTGTTCTTCAGGTCGCGTGAGCAGCTTGTTCCCAGACCTACTTTCCTTCTTTTTCAGAGTCCGACCGACGGGAGATCGGCTCGACGAATCGGCCGAGCTGCAGGCACGTGGTGTGGGGCCGGACGTAGGTACCTTAGCTAGGTGCCTTATCGATAAGCACCCCTGTACGTACCTCGGGTCTCGGTGATATCAGACCGCTGTTCTCTTACACGAAGCTACCGATCTGCATCCTTTCTCACCAGTGGCCTGCGTTGAAGGGCGTGCTCGTCCTCGGGGCTGCAGTAGTCAAGACAGAAATAAATGGTCAGCTCGGGAGGAAGAATGACTGAGCTGTGTTGTCATCAGCTTGTTGGCGGCGTTACTGGTGATCGTATGAGGTGAGCATCTACCTGGGGTATCCTCACGAGGAAATAAAGCCAATTGTTCCCGTTGGAATTGCCTATTCCAGGAAAGCCATAGTTGGCTTAGTTTATCCCAAAAGTTGCCGAGGCATGAAGCTCTTGTGAAGATGGCCATCAAACGCTACCTCACCGATCGGTAGGTAGGCTAACTTATTCCCATCTGCTGGAATTATGGGGCTTGGTAGCTAGCTTAGCTCACCTAGTGTTGCATCTCGGGCGATCCAAGCTCCCTGCGAAATGTGAACGCAACTCGTCACCTCCTCCTCAAACATCCAACATAAGCCAACATCTGACGTACAGTTCACCCGTTACCCCAAATTTGTTTCGTTTCGATAATCCTAGCACCGCCAGGTATCCCACCCGCGGCCGGAGGCTCTGTCCGTTCGCTCCCTTGGTGAGGCAAAACCAACACAGGGGAAGCTGAAATCCTCCTCTTCCTCTTTCATCCTCCAGAGCTCCGAAACTCTAAATCTCCAACCGAGCTACTAGCCCAGAGCTCCCCAACGTCTTCCCAACGACATCTGACGCCGCAGACCTGATCGTTAGGCATAGCTAGCTTCACTTCTAGTCTTCGATACCCCTCGTTCTGTATTCTACACCTGTCTTTTCTCAGGAGCTTAGGAATACACGGGACTCCAGCTAGCCCGTCCTCTCATCCTCCGCGCCAACCGCAGCGTCAGAGGAACACCTTCATCCTCACATCCCGCCATCATGGCTCCGAACCGCAAATACGCAAACTACCCCGGTGCCCGCGAGGGTCCGGTCCAAGCCAGCACGGAGGTACCAAAGGAGGACGAGAACCCCGTCCTCCGCGGCTGGCCTCTGGTCGTCGGCTCAACCCTGTTCGTCACCACTCATCATCATCGTCATCCTCGCTCACTAACACCCTCACCCAAGCCTCGCAAACTCCGGCGTCCTCCAGCGCTTCTTCTGGCGCAACGCAAAGTTCGGCTCGATCAGAGACCTCCCGGGCCTGGTCGACTACAGATACCGCTTCCAGGTGCCGCCCTCTGCCTCCCTCACTCACTCACCCCCGGCCTCCGTAGTCAGGACGCAACTAACACCGCCCCCAGCCCGACGTGATCGCCCTCTCCGAGACGGGCGAATCCCACCCGGACCCGATCCCCTTCTCCGCCGACCTGACGACCCCGGCCCCGCAGGACCTCCCCGCCCGCTACCTCTCCAGCGCCGACTACCATGCCCTCTACGCCACCGGCGCCCTCACCCCGCTCGACATCGTCCAGGCCCTGCTGCCCCTGATCCGCCGCGCCGAGGGCCACCCGCCCCCCGAGACCGGGCCCTACGCCAACGCCTGGGTCGCCTCCCACGGCCGCGAGGACCTCGCCCTCGACGCCGCCCGCGCCTCCACCGAGAGGTGGCGCGCCGGCAAGCCCCTCGGCCCCCTCGACGGCGTCCCCATCGGCGTCAAGGACGACATCCCCGTCGAGGGCTACGTGAGCCACAACGGCATGCAGTACCGTCCCGACCTCCCCTGGTTCAAGCCCGCCGAGGACACGTGGTGGCCCGTCAAGCAGCTCGAGGCCGCCGGTGCCATCGTGGTCGGCAAGAACGCCATGCACGAGCTGGGCGGTGGTAAGTCATTCACTCCTCCCGTCATTGAAACCGACGAGCAGTCGCTAACCGAACCCAGATACCAACGGTTGCAACGTGAGAACCACTCCACCCGGTAGACAGAACCCAGCTAACATTCACAGCCGCGCTGGGGAACCCCCACGAACTGGTACAACACATCCTACTACCCCGGCGGCTCCTCTTCCGGAGGCGGCTCCGCCACCGGCGCCGGCATCATCCCCATCTCCATCGGCACCGACGCCGGCGGCTCCATCCGCATCCCCGCCTCCTTCAACGGCGTCTACGGCCTCAAACCCTCCCACCACCGCACCATCGCCATGAACTCCTCCATGTGCGTCGTCGGCCCCCTCGCCGCCACCGTCGCCGACCTCACCATCGCCTACCGCCTCATGTCCCGCCCCAACCCGGACGACCCCATCCAGGGCCTCTACGCCCCCTCCGTCCCGCCCTCCCCCTCGGCCCCGAAGACCATCGCGATCGACGAGTCCCAGTGGTCCCGCGCCCAGCCCCCCGTCGCGGCCCTCTGCCGCGCCGCCGTCGAACACTTCAGGTCCCGGGGCTACGAGATCATCGACGTCCGCATCCCCCAACTCCGCGAGATCCAGCTCATGCACTCGGCCACCTGCGTCACCGAGATGGGCGACCTCGCCCGCCACCGCCACCCGGACCCGGACGCCTGGCAGTCCATCATCAACCACGCCAACAAGGTCACCATGTCCGTCGGCACCGTCACCCCCGCCGGCGACTACATGAAGTACGCCCAGCTGCGCGACATGCTGATGAAGCACCTCGCCCACCTCTTCGAGTCCCACCCGGGCATGATGCTCCTCACCCCCACCACCCCTCTCCCGGGCTGGCCCAAGCAGCCCGGCGACGAGGCCTACGGCGTGTCCGACACCAACACGACCATCGCCAACATGGGCTACGTCTACGTCGCCAACGTGAGCGGGTGTCCCGCCGTCACGGCGCCCGTGGGCTACGTCGACCCCGTGCAGGGCGAGGGGAGGGTGCCCGTCGGGCTGATGGCCATGGCGGAGTGGGGGTGCGAGGAGCAGCTGCTCGGCTGGGCGCGCGAGGCCGAGACGTATCTGCACCAGGAGGGGCGGAGGAGGCCCGAGGGGTGGGTTGACGTGATCGAGATGACCAAGAACGGCGGTCTCGAGGCCAAGAAGAACATCTGAGGAAGTGCACCATCTATCACAAACGTAGGAAAGAGGGAGGGAAAATAGTCGTAGTGTCTGAATATTGGAAACGGATCTATACGCTGGAAAGGACAGTACAAGAGCATTCTCGCTCGGTTAAAAGACATGAGAAGTATCAAAAAAATCTACTTCAGAAACTTGGACGCGAGACCCATGAAGCCGCCCTGCTGCTGGCCCTGGCTCTTCATGTACATCTTGAGCGCCATCTCGCCCGCCTGCTGGATGGCCGACTCCTTGCTGGTGCCGTCGGCGACCTTGCCTTGTGACTGGCGCTGGTCGAAGAGCTGCGACACACGCGTCAACATCAACACATCATCTTAGTTCCGGGAACGTAGATATCGCAAAGATGGAGAGAGAAGAGAAGGCGACGAGGACTCACGCGACTGGCCTCCGCCATGGCGAGACCCATGAACCCGCCCTGGCTCTGCTTCTGCCCGCCCGTGTCGCCGCTCGAGAACATCTTGAGCGCCTGCATGGCGGCCGCGGCGCCGAGGCCCTTGTCGTCGGCCTTCTCGTCGTCCTCGTCGTCGCCGAAGAATTTCTTGTGCTTGTTCACGGCGTCTTTTCGCCAAGAGATACGGTGTTAGTAGTCACAACCACCAACAGCCACCTCCGTTGGTTGGCTCTGGAAAAACAAAACATACGGTCCTCGTCGATATCCTCATCCTGGAGCTGGTTCTTCTTCTGCGTCAACGCCCCGAGGACGGTCGAGAAGAGGTCCGAGTCCCCGCTGGACCCGGCGCGGCGGGAGGCCTGGTGGGCGGCCTGACGGTAATCGTCATCGTCGTCGTCGGCGAACCCGGCGGGATAGTTGCCGCCGTGAGCCTCTGTTTGTCGGGTCCTCGGTCAGCCAAAAACACAGTACAACCCGGATTGAATTTTGACAAATCGAACGAGGAAACTTTTCCCGTCTCAGGGGGTGTTGAGCGAGATGGAGTGTTTGGACGAAATAGATCAAACGTGACAAAAAGACAAAAACAAGACAGAAAAAGCATAAGCAAAACATTCTTCTTGGGACAGAAAAAAAAAAAAAACTTACTGTCACCTCCGGGAAGAGGTTGGCCTGTCGGTCGTTGACGATGATTGCGTCTTTGGTCAGTGACAAGCTTTCTTAGTGAGGGGTCGCGGGGTATGAGCGCCGTGGAAGCGAAAGATTGATGGCGGGGTAAGGGGAAGCTAGACACTGTAAGTAGCAAAAGCAGTTGAGCGTACCGTGGCCGTGGCCCTGCTGGGGCTTGTCGTCGTCCTTGTTCAGGTACTCTGACGCCTTGTTGATGAGCTTGTCCATTTTGAATGTGAGATTGACTCGGATGATGATGATTGAGGATGAGAAATGTCATGTGAGGAAGAGAAAGAGGGATTTAGAAGTCCTAGCTTGTATATGAAGCTCTGGTAGGGACAGCCACGTCTCCGCACGACGTGGGCGATCAATTGTCTCAGGACACCCTGAGCTGGCCATGCAATGCAAGCCAAACTACAGATACCGCGCCGGGTGTATTATCCAACGGGCCATGCGCCGCCTCAGACCAATGGTCGCCGCGTGTAACAGCCACAGCTTGTCAAAACCAAGGGGACCAGCGAGTGATTCTCCATCTGCCAAGACTAGCGCGCCCCGGTTCGTCAAGATAGATACCAGTGACGCAGCTGGGTAGGCGCTGAGAACAGCTCAAAACCTCACGTACATGATGCAGAGGTCATCATCCAGCTCTCGTCGTTTGACGGTCAGCAGCTCACTGCCTGTCTCCAGGTCCCTCCATGTTTGCTGTCCCGTGCAACCAGGTCCCACCCGCCCCGTTCAAGATCAACCATCCGCAGTAGCAGGCCCGGCCGTCCAATCATGGCTCCCGTGCTGGGATGGCATGAATTGTCCTGGATGCAAGGTCGGAGCCTGTTAACGGTATCAAGGGCTTCAGGGCGCAAACGAGATGTTTCAGGAACCAAGTGGTCTCTGTGTGCTATCATCCATGAGCAGTGCAATTATATCCCGAAGGAAGCAGCTGAATGGGAAAGGCGGAATTTGCATAATGGACGGCCATGCTCAACCGAGGTCGAGGTCTAGGTCGCCTTGAATTGAGCCCTGAGCCCATTAACGGCGGGCAGTGGGCAGTCTCTGCAGACGCGCTTGTGACCAACCGGAAGTCACCTACATCGGCCCCTCTTCCAAGTCCCGTATGGATATCACATTTTCCGCAGTCAGTCCTGGTGGCCAGGGTCTTGGCTGACCGCCAGTCGTTGAACCGCCTCGAAACAGACAACTTATCCGCAAGGGCCCGCCAAGCTGAAAAAAAGAGAAAAAAATCGATGCCAGCAACATCGAACTCGGCGGTAGCTGGTTGAATGAAAGCAACATGGCTTGAATTTCGCTGTTGAAACTGCCCTTCCGATATCTCGTGCTCCTTGTCCCATGACCCGGTGTCGAACTTAGGTATCTCGGTTGCTGCGAAAAAAAAAGTTGTAAACAAAACGGACGGCCGTATGTTCGTGAATCATAGCCTGCGCCGTGCCTTCTTCCAGACGCCAACGCCGGTGGGCATGAATGACCACCATCCCTCTTCGGGGCACATGTCGACTGATACGCCAGCGCCGACCCATTAACTAAACTCAACCGTGAGCCCCCGTGGAATGCTCGACTGTGAGTGAACCCGATGCATGATTACTGCCGCCGCCGTGTCGGTTCTTCTTCTCTTTCTTTGCCCATCTCAGACCGCAGGCGTTGCACAGCGTCTTGGGACCACTAGGACCTTTGCGCCATTCGGGAGAGTCGAGGGTACCTAGTGTGCGCCGTCAGAATGGATATTGACGAGGACATCCACAAGAATAGGGACCTACCGCAGTCCGTGCAGACGTATTCCTCCGAAGTCTTTAGCTTCTTCTTCTTGTCGCCTGTCCTAGGATCCCGGTCCTGTGGGATGGCGATTCCGGCGTCGCCCTTGACCAACGTTGGACTCGCATTTCCTGTCGTGATACCGCGACTTCTCTCTCCCTCGATGTATCTCAAGCCAGTCAACATCTCGATGGTGTCGGTGTGCGAAGCGCCCTCGTATCGAGCCATCTTGTCCTTTAGCGAGTCTGGGCGGCTGGCTGCGACGCCTTCCAGAGCTTCCCTGGTGAGACCCACGTTGAGAGCAGATGTCCTGTCGCTCGAGCTATCGGCGTTGCGAGACATGCCGCTTTGGGCGATGGATGTTGTGATGGTCGTTTCCGATGGTGTTACGTCTGACCTGCCCTCCTGGCTTTGTTGCCATAACCTCGCCGATTCTTCATTGTCCATTTCCTCCTCCCTACGCAGCTCGGCGATGCGCCTCCTCAACCGCTCATTTTCCATCTTATGTTCGAGGAACGAGTCGAGGAGGACTGCATTTTTGGTGGGGTAAGGGCGCGACATCATGAAAACGGCCTGGCAGAATGGCGATTGGTTGTGGGGGTTCGGTGCGAATTTGGCGGCGGCGATGTGGGCGTGGCCGACTGACTCAAAGATGGTGAATTTGCCGTCCTTCTTCTTCAACCTACAGAAGAGGCGCAAAGGGTTACCCGACGCTATCGACTCGTTAAGCTCGGCAACAAAGACTCCCTGATCGTCGGGATGGACAAGGTCCTTGAGGAAGGTGTCGATGACTTCGTCGGCGGTGTATCCAATTAGATTGAGAATGCTGGGGGAGACGTATTTTATGCGACCGTTGGCGTCGAGTATTTGAAGAAAGTCCTTGAGCTCTTGGACGACGTTGGGGGCCCAATTCCGTCTCTTTGTGAACTCGGTCAGGAGGCTGCCAGCCTGCTGCATGGCCTGGGGGTTGAAGCCGCCGAGGGGCGGAGGGCCACCTCCAATAACGTTAACATCGTCGGCGTTATTTGGGTAGTTGTTGGTCATTGAGGGACCGTCGTCGATAATACCGTCGGGGTGGGGAGTTTGGGCGAAGAAGTTGGCCATTCCGCTATCGTCGCCGGGGTTGTCGACGTTCATGTTCATGGCGTCAAAGCTCCCATACATTGTCGGGTCTAGCAGGGACGACATGATGTTGGGGTCGGCTTCGGCCATCTGCATTGCGTCAGCGCTGGTTGGGAGGGAGACCTGAGGGAAACAATTGATTGAATGGGGCCAGAAAGACTTGCGCCGGGGTGTCGGCGGGTCAGGTGAAGGGGATCAGAGGATAAGCGAGGACGGATGAGGGCAGGCAAATGTGAAGTAGGCATCGGGAGGTGAGGAGGAGCAGCAGCGGCTGCGGGAGCGAGCAGGCGGGACTAACAGCATCAAAGGCAGAGAAGGCGTCTTGGGGCCCGAAGCCAAACATATTGGCGGGGGGAGGCTGAGGTGGTCCGTGAGACATGGTAGTGGTGGTATTGTTCCGATGCTGCTGATGCTGATGCTTGCACAGACTGCTTCTGGCAAAGGCATTTGGTGATTTGCGCAGAGATTCGGAGAAGGCCCCGATGGGCGGTTTGTGAAGTTGGTCCAGGTCACGGCGGCACGGCGCTGCAACTTGTTGTTGGTTGAAGCCTGTGTCCAATGTATTATGCGTACAGAGTATCCGTACCGTAAGGTACCGTGCCTGGGCTGTCGGTGGTAGCCAACTCAAACTGCGATAAGGTACCGGCGCTGCAACACGACGGGACAGCAGCAGCAACAACAGCGGAGACCACTAAGCTGTTCCAACGACAGCGACAGCTATTGCGATACGGCTGTGAATGCGACCCGACTGCGACTGTTGTGCTGCTTGCTGTTGTTGGAAGTCGGGATCCCGGGCTGAACAGACACAGTTTCGGAGCAGGACTCGAGCTCCGAAAGCGTCCAGAATCAGATCAGGTACCTAGCGAAAGGTGAAAGGATCGGATCCGGGACGGGATATGGGGCGTTGTGCGTCGACGGCAGCACTTTCTTAGTCTTCCATGTCTTCTTTCCGGTCAAACCCGTCTATTTGCTGCGATAAGAGAGAAAACAAAAATGAGCGTTGTGGTGGTGAGAACGACGCCAGGATGCGTTGTTGAAACCAACAGACAGAGAAAGAGCAGACAAGAGATGGGGGACGGTGACCCCAGGGTTGATCGAGGGTTGTTCTGACTGAAGGATAGATTTCGAGGAGAGATGGGGGCTCGTGGTCATTAATAAAGGGCGGAAGTTGAATAATGACTGGGCTAGTGGCGTCGTCCAGCCCAATTCTGTCTGAGGTGGTTTAGTGCCGTGGGGAGCGGTACGAAACTTGGGCAGTAGTAGCAGGAGCAGTGGCAGTAGTAGTAGTAGTAGCGGCGACGGCAGCGATAACACTTGAAGAGAAACGGAGGTAGCAGCGGTGCCGACGGTCAGGTTGAGTTGAGTCGGATCGAGTCCAGCATTAAGCTAAGGTTGTCTCGTCCTGTTTGCCGGGACGGACTGAAGACTGAGGACCGAGGACTTGGTGGCACGGCGGAGGGAACGGAGGGAAGGGTCCAGGTTCCAGTCAGTCAGGTCCAGGTCGCTTGGGGCCGAATCACGTTTAGGTATCCGTGGTGTGACACGCCCTGGCCTGACGGGAGATGCAAGATCAGGCACTTGGGTTGGCAGCGGGTCGGATGCGTGAAGCGAGGGCAAGTGAAGAAGGGGTCCAAGGATGAGGACGGTAAGTAGGCAGGGAGGTGACGAAAGGGAAAAGAAAGTCAGGTTGAGGGCGTGAAGAGGGAAGTGGAGGGGAAAGTCGGTCTGGCAGAGAAAGAGAAAGAGCACCAGGTACGGAAGGGAAGACAAGTCACGTCGTCACCGAAAAAACTAGAATATGATTAGGGCGGGTGAGAATGGAAGGAAGGTAGCAGCAGCAAGGAAGGCAGCATGGAAAGAGACTACTACTACTAGCTTAGCTTCAGGGACCTGCGGACGCGGAACGAAAAGAGAAAAAAAAAAAAAAACACGGGATGGGAAACTGCAAAATGGAAATGGGGCACATGGCAATTTTGAGTCCCTGGAACATGGAATTTTGCGATTCAATTCGACCCCTCCACCTACACCCAGACCTGCCTACCTGCCTTAGACCCCGCTGTTCACCTCCCACATTCACAATCACGATTCTGCCACCATTTCCTTCCGCTTCTACCTTGCCTAGGTACGTATGGATACTCCCATACTTATTTGTTCCGCGGTACATGATTACTGCTACCTGCTACCTGTGTTCCTAAATTGGGCAGATACAGCGCACCAATTGGCCGTCCAACAGCTGCTGCGGCGCACAATCTCCCTTACACTCGCACGTCATGCCTTGCCATGCCTTGCGGCGCCTCGGGGGCTGCACGGTCCAGCCGTCCATTGCGAAATGGTTCCAGAGCTCATATTCCAGGGGCTCACCACAGCGATGATCCTCAATCGCTGCTACCACCGAAGCCGCCCTCCGGAGCAAATGCCCCGGCGCCGTGACAGTTGAACCGCTGGTGCAGTCTATCTCCACCGAAGGTCCGCGTCGGGCTGCCACGGCGTGCCCTGGGTGCACCTGCGAAGAGTCGGTGGAGCTAATCCGCCCTTTCTCGCATTCACATTTCTCACGCATCAGAGACCCTGCATTTCTTCTTCAGGGTCGCCGTTCTACACGTGTACGAATACCGTTTCTTGCCTTGGCGGACGCCTTCCGACATACCGCACACGTTTTAGGCACCTCATTAGCTTTCCGTGCATCCCACGCATCCACGGCTCGCGGTGCGGCCATCTCCCGGACTCCCGTCACGGCCTCTACCCAGGGCCGACGGGGGTTCAACTGACAAGCTGGAAATGCTTCATGAATCACAGGGCACTTCGGATACCTTTCCCCAAACCGGTTACTGTCGTGGATCGTTCTGGACCTTCTGGAAACTCCGCGTCCCGTCTCTGCTGTGGCGTATTCGTGTTATGCCGCAGACAAAGACACGCCCAGGATATTGACATACAAATAAAATCCAACCTGAAAGCTGAGCTGATCTGATGTTCGGAGAGCACGGCGAAGGAGCCGCATCTGCGGTATTTAAAGTTGCAGAATGACGCATTACATCAGTCCGGCGCAAAACACTTACCATAGTACACCTGTTGAAGCTAGCAGACCTGAGATTACCATCTGAAGAGCTCTGAGGACACAGCAAACTCTCGAGTACGACGACGATGCCCTATCACAAAACGTAGAGAAAAGACGACCTGGGATTACCTTATCTGCCTTAGTGATGTTGTACAACCTACCCGCTCTGCCTGATCATTGTCCTTTGTGTCCGAGATCACCAGTGCCGTCCAGTCGGATGGATACCTTGCCCACCTACTGTACCTGCCTGCCGCTGCCTTCGGTTGAACAAAGGGCGAGCTGGGTGTCTTATCCTTATCAGACGCTGCCTTATCCACAATCTTATCTTATCACCTGCCGCGAAGTCACGCCTTTTCGCGGGCACCTCCCCAACGCGTACCTGCGTTGCAGCGCGCAAGTCCACCACCGCACGGCAGCCTGGCCCAAGGCAACAAACACCACCACAAGCACAAAACAGAGGTCATTTCCACCAACATCACAACTCAAACTTCAACTTGATTACCGCACTTACTGCACTGCACCACCACACCACCGGGATCAACACACACCAATTCGCATGGCAAACGGCCTCCCGAGGCACAGCCCGCCATGTCCAAGATCGATAAGCTGTCCGTCCAGGGCATCCGCTCCTTTGGCGGCAGCCGCGAGACCATCTCCTTCTACACCCCGTTGACCCTCATCGTCGGTTACAATGGCTCCGGAAAGACCACAATCATCGAGTGTCTGAAGTACGCCACCACCGGCGAGCAGCCCCCCAACAGCAAAGGAGGCGCATTCGTCCACGACCCCAAGGTGCCTATCAGTCCGGGTCTTGTCCATAGCTTTCGCTAACAACTGTGTCCTAGTTATGCGGAGAAAAGGAAGTAATGGCTCAGGTCAAGCTTGCCTTCACCTCGACAGGCGGCCTCAAGTTCGTTGCCACTCGAAGCCTCCAATTGACCGTCAAGAAGAACTCCCGATCGCTCAAGTCCCTCGAGGGCTCTTTGGCCTGCAACAACAATGGCGAGCGAACCGTCACCTCGTCCAGAGTCGCGCAGATGGACGAGTGGATTCCGAGAGAGCTGGGCGTGTCTCGGGCCATTCTCGACTACGTCATCTTCTGCCACCAGGACGAATCCCTCTGGCCCATGAGTGAGCCTGCCGCATTGAAGAAGCAGTTCGACCAGATTTTCGAGGCGATGCGATACACGAAGGCCATCGACAACTTGAAGCTTCTCAGAAAGAAGCAGGGCGAGGAGCTGTCCAAGCTCAAGATCTTTGAGGAGCAAGACAGAATCAACAAGGAGAAGGGCGATCGATCCCAGAAACACGCCCTTGACCTGGAAGAGGAGATCGAGGCCGCCAGACAAACTTGTCAGGATATGTCGGCCGAGATGGAGGAGCTTGAGGAGCAGATCCGCCAAAAGCACGACCAAGCGAACAGCTTTCTTCGCGTCGTCAACGACCTTCGGTTCAAGAGAGATCAGCTCAAGTACCGCGAGGGTGCCATCGCCGACCTCAAGATGACCCTCGAGGAGCTCCCGGAAGATGACGAGTACCTCAAGAGTGCATTCGAGCAGTACGAGGAGCGCATGGCGCGATACCAGGAGGAAGCAGACCAGAACAAGTCTCAGTACGCCGAGCTGCAAAGCGGCATGACCAAATCTCGCAAAGAGCTCTCCGCCAAGTTCTCCGAGCAGGGAAAGCACCAATCCGACAAGGACAAGTACGAGCGTCAACTTCAGAGTCGCATGGAGCTGGTTCGGCAGGCTGCGGAAGTCCACGGATTCCGAGGCTATGACGGCGATCTGAAGGACAGCCAAATCAAGACCTTCACTGAACGCATTCAGAAGCTTCTCGCCGACAAGAAGCGCGACTTGGAGCGTGTGCAAAAGGAGAATGCTCGCGAACTGGACCAGGCCACGAGCGTCATCACGGAGCTCGAGGGTCGCAAGGCGACCATGACCCAGAACCGGGTGTTCGCCAAGCAGCGTTTGGGCGCGATTGAGAAGCGCGTCAACGTCTTGCAGATGGATATCAATCGCCTGGACATTGATGAGGGCGCAAAAGCCGTCTTAGACAGCCAGTTCGAGGACGTCGAGAGCCGACTTCAGAAAGCCAACGAGGCCTTGGCCAGTGCCGATTTCGACACCCTCCTGCAGCAAGACAACGAGAAGCTATGGCAGTTGGAGAGCGAGAATGAGAAGCTGGGCCGCGAGTTGATGGAGTGCACAAGACTTGCCTCCGAGCGAGCGCAGCTGGACCTGCGCAAGAAGGAGTTGACGGACCGCAAGCGCAAACTCGACACTCTCACAAACACTTGGAAGCCCAAGCTTGACACGCATGTCGGCCCCACCTGGCAGACGGAGACCCTCGAGGCTCAGTATCACGACGCTATCAAGCGCCAGAACAAGGTGCTCGCGGAAGCTAGGCAGAAGCGGGACTCAGCGAGAGACAAGCACCAGAAGGTTGACTACAGGCTGAAGAGCGCCAGGGAGACTGGCCAGAAGAAGACGTCCGAAGCGACGCGCTGTCGAGATGCTGTGGTTGGCGCCCTGAAGTCAGTTCGGGATGGCGCCACTATTGACGACTACGAAGAGGAGGTCAAGTTGCATGAGGAAGATGTGGAAACCTACCAAACCGACATCAGTCTCCTTGATGCACTGGCCGACTACTACCGCGGCTGCCAGAAGACTTTGCAAGACAAGAACAAGTGTCGACTTTGCGATCGATCGTTCGACGACAAGCAGAACGTCGCCAAGTCTCGATTCTCAGACAAGCTCGTCAAGTTCCTTGACCCGAACAAGAAGGAGAAGGCAGAGGAGGATCTCGCCAACTCCACTGCCCTCCTCGGCTCGCTGCGCAAGGTCAAGCCGCAGTACGAGACATACCAGAGACTGATGGCTGAGGTCCCCGGCATCAAGGAGGAGTGTTCGTCGCTCGAAGCTGAGTGCGAGACACTGGAGAGACAACTAGAGGAGCACGATGCCGTCGTCAGTGCCGAAAGCGACAAGCTGAACGACATTGAGTCTTTGAACAAAACCGTCATCAACATCACTCAGGCCCTCCGAGACATCAAGGATTCCGAGTCCCAGGTTGATCGGATCATGTCTCAGCAGTCATCCAACGTTGCCAGCCGCAGCGCCGACGACATCCATGAACTCCAAGCATCCTGCAATGAGCAGATCAGGTCTCTGAAGAACAAGATCCTGAAGACTTCGACTGATCGTCAACGAATGAAGGATCAGCTAAACGCTCTTGAGTTGGAGAAGAGTGAACTGAAGAACAAGCTCAGCAAAGCCATGAACCAGCTCGAGCGCAAGAAGGACTTCCAGAACCAGATCCAGACTTTGAAGGACGACCAGAACCATCAGAGAGAGCTGATCAGCAAGGCGGATGAGGACTTGGAGACTATCGAGCCTGAGATTGCCGAGGCGAGGTCAGTCCGAAATGATACGCTGCAGCGTGGTCGCGCCAAGGAGCAGGCCATTGCGGAGGAGCGCGACAAGGTGTCCGACTCTGTCACGGAGCTGAAGATGGTCGAGAGTGATATCCAAGACTACGTCGACCGCGGTGGTCCGTCCAACTTGGCATCCAACCAACGCGCTATCGCAACCCTCGAGAAGACGATCGCTAGTCTGGACAAGGAAATTTCGGACTTGACGGTTCGTACCAACAAGCTAAAGCAGGATATCGACAATGGCGATCGCAAGAAGCAGAACATCAGCAACAACATCAAGTATCGTCAGAACTTGCATGAGCTCGAGGTGCTCCGGCAGGCTATTCAGGAGTTGGAGGCTCGTGATGCCGACGAGGACTACAAGACTTTGGCTGCTGAGGCGAAGCAGTTGGAGAATCGCCACAGCCGGCTCGTCGCGGACCGGGGGTCTCTGATGGGACAAATGAAGACCAAAGATGAGGAACTGGGCCGAACAGTGGCCGAATGGGAGCAGGAGTACAAGCATGCTGCCAAGAAGTACCGCGAGTCTCACATCAAGGTCGAGACCACCAAGGCTGCGATTGAGGACCTGGGCCGTTACAGCGCCGCGCTGGACAAGGCCATCATGCAATACCATGGCCTCAAGATGGAGGAGGTCAACCGCATCGCCGGCGAGTTGTGGCAGAGTACCTACCAAGGTACTGACATCGACACCATCCTCATCCGCTCCGACAACGAGAACGCGACCACCGGCCGCCGTTCCTACAACTACCGCGTCTGCATGGTCAAGCAGGACACGGAGATGGACATGCGCGGCCGCTGCTCCGCGGGACAGAAGGTGCTCGCCAGCATCATCATCCGCCTCGCCCTGGCCGAGAGCTTCGGCGTCAACTGCGGCCTCATCGCCCTCGACGAGCCGACGACCAACCTCGACAAGGACAACATCAAGAGCCTAGCCGAGAGCCTGCACGCCATCATCAAAGCCCGCCAGGCGCAGAGCAACTTCCAACTCATCGTCATCACCCACGACGAGGAGTTTCTCCGCCACATGCGCTGCAGCGACTTCTGCGACAGCTTCTTCCGCGTCAGGAGAGACGACAAGCAGAACAGCGTCATCACCAAGGAGAGCATCACCAGGGTTTTGTAAAAAAGAACAACGAGAAAAAGTGTGTGTATTGTACCGTCGCTTCTGGTGTAAATGGGGAAAATGGGGGGATTTGCATGGTGTTTTTAGGGGGGACGGTTTATGAGCATGGCGTCCTGGTTATTTGTGTGTCTTTGTTGCTGGAGTTGAGACAGGGCTACGTTGGCTTCGAGATTTAAGACGCTGTATGATGAGCCTTGCCAATGAAGATGCTTAGTGAAACACCCTGAACTTGATTACAACCTGATGATCCGTGATTTAATTCTTTGATCTCATAGTGAAGACATACAACGCGACGAAAGATGTGAACTATATCGCTGGGAATAGTTCATGGTGTGTTCCCCCTAACCTACGTTGCGCATTGCCTCCCTCCCTCGGGTGGACAATACGCCTCCGTAAGACGTGTGTTCTTTTGTCAGCGTCACTTGACGAGAAAGCGGTCCAAGATTCATACCTGGCACGCCGCAGACCATTCTTCCTTCCGCGGATCATCGCTCGGTGTAGCGAGTTGAATAGAGCCACAAGAGTGCTGCCGCATTGCCTCACTTGGAGCAAGGAGAACAACCCGACTCCATTTTCCTCTTCTCAACGGAGATATCCAGTCATTCATACATGCACTCTAGCGCAGACGGGGCCCCATCTGTTCAATTTCTCGTGTGATTTCAGTCCCGTTCGTCCTAAGGTAATCTCATGCTACGCCCCCGCCACCAGAATTAAGCTCAACACATGAGTTATGGGTAAACGCGGCGGTAAGAGATGTGGGGAAAACGATTCGTGGTATCATGGGCTCCCCTTCCCCCTCCTTAAGCAAAAGTCGGCTCACTCGATCCCGGCCGGGGGAGCGGTCCTCGTCTTCTTCTCCTCCTCCTCCGCCAACGGCTTCTTCTCGTCTTCCTCCTTGACCTCCTCCATCTTCATCTCCTCGTCCTCGGGCTCGGCCTTGGGCGCCTCGGCATCCTCGACCTTGACCTCCTCTTCTTCCTTCTTCACGACGTCCGCGTCTTCGCCCGCGGTGGCGACGTCGCCCTCGTCCTCCTTGATCTTCTTGCTCGCGAGGCCCTCCTCCAACTCCTCGTTCGCGTCGCGCTTGGCGTGCGACGTGGTGCTCGTCTCCGAGGCGGCGTCGTCGTCGGCCGTGTCCGCGTCCATCGTGACCGACGAGGCGTCCTCGGTGTGGGAGTCCTCCGCGTCGGGCGACGACGACGCGGGCGGCTCGGCCTTGCGACCGACCGCGGCCTCGACGTCGATGCCCTGCATCTCGACGCCCGGACCGCCGACGAAGCTCGTGGTGACGCTCTGCGGACCGAGGTCGTCGACGCCGATCTCTTCAGGCCCGCGAGCGTGCGGGGTCTCGGTCTCGTCTTCAGCCGTGGCGGCGGCGGCGGCGGCGGCAGCGTCCGGGGACAACTGCTGCTGCTGCTGCTGCTGCTGTCTCTCGGGGCTGTCTGCATTGCCGCCGTCACTCCCACCGTTACCAGCACCGCCGGCGGCGCGGAGGGCGGCGGCGTGCAGTTGTGCTTCTTCTGTTTGTCGCACGAGTTGGTTGACTGGAACGACGCCCTGCTCCTGCTCCTGTCGCAGTAACTCACCTTGCGTTATGCCGCGACCCGCTGGGCCGGCTGCTGTGTTGATGTGGCTCATGGCGGCGCCCATGGACGGGATGCCGTTGACGCTGACGCTGACGGTCTCGATGCTGCCGACGCCGTTGGGACCGTCGATGGTCTCCGTCGACTCGGTGCGGATCTCGGCGGGGCCGTTGTTGCTGCTGCCGCCGCCCGAGGAGGCCGGGGAGGCGGAGCCCGGCGACGGCCGGCGTGTGAGCCAGGGAATGGGGGTTAGTAGTGCGCCGCCGAGGGCCTCGTCCGTCCCTATCGTCGAGGCGGCCGAGTTGGCCGTGTTGCCCCAGGAGACGGCGGCGGCCGGGTCCTGCGGGGAAGAGGAACCGCCGCTGCTGCTGCCGCCGCCGTTGGCGATTGTGCCGTTGGAGAGGAGCGTCATGGCGGACACGTCGGGGACGGCAGGCGGGAGGGGGTAGACGTTGGCGCCGGACGTGACGTGGACGACGCGGTCGACGGCGTGGAGATATGAGGCCAGTTGGCGGTAATGTCGGCGGGGCTCGATGACGAGCTCGGCGAGGCGCTGAATCGTGTGCGGGGGGTACTTTGGGAAGGTCGCGAGGACGGCGTTGATCTCGGTGAGCATCGCCTCGATTTGGGCCGGCAGGGAGCCCGGGGCCAAGGGTGCGGCAGTCGTCGCATCGCGCTCGCCGTCGGCGGCAGTAGGTGACGTTGTCGATGATTTCGGCTGGGCGTTTTCCTTGTCTGCGTCCTGTGACGAGGGATCGCCGACGGTGTCGGGGGGGCCGGACGAGGAGAGGAGCGGCGGTTGTGGGTGTTGGTCTGGTGGGTTAATGCGTTGACGTGGGGGTGGCAGGTTCGGGATAGGAAAATCATTGTGAGCGATCTAGAAGACATTCGCAAAGCGAACATGTGAGCGCGCCCTGTGGGAGGCCAAGAGTCGAGCGATGATGGGAAGGGCGAGGGGGGTCTAAGGTCGGCAGTCAGGACATACCTTATCGAGCCTTGTGATGATTCCTTGCGACAGGGCAGGCCATAGACCGCTGCGCGAACGAGATTAGCGATTGCGAGTTTGTGCGGGAGGTGACTGTCGACTTACTAGTCCATCTGACCACCCGAGGCGACCGTCCGCAGAAGGTCCTCGTCAACCTCGATATCCATTGTTGCGACGTGGGGTGCGTGTGGTTGATGTTGAAAGATCAGCTTGGCTACCTACCCAGATATGGTCCGTCCCACTGACGTCGCGTACTGGAGGAGGGAAGCGCGACTGGCTTGTGGATATGCACTTAACCGATTCTTGCCTAAGTGCTTGGTAGGAGTTCCAAAGCACGTGAAGGAAGGCACGTACTACACTCAGCACTTGTCCTGTTGGTTTATTCCAAGGTAATTCTCAAAAACTGGCAGCATTAAACACGGTATTGTTGAAAGCAGAACATCAAGTTGGATGTACCTTGCTATGCACTATTCGACCTCAGCTTGCCCGTGGTTACTAGTCGCCGGAGCCGATCCGGACCCGGATCGGAGCAGCCGGCGGAACTCGAGAATCAAAGGCATCAACCCTGCGAAGGTCTGCAGTACCGTCGCCCTCAAGCACCATTCCACTTTGTGCTGCGCGCTCGGACAAATCGCTGATATTACGATTCATATGAATCCAGAAGGTTTCCAAGGTCATTCTCATGTTGTGTCTTGTGCCAATGCTTCGAGGTTGTTGGCCTCATCAGTGTTCCCGCCAAAAAAAATAGGTTACGAGCAATGTGGAGGAATAATTAGCCTTCACCCGCTGCTGACAATCTATCTGTATGAGTTCTAGACAACCTCAACGCCATACGATTGATCCCTTCTGAATACCTGTGTTGAGTTTTAATTTTGGGCTCCTGGAAGACATTTACTCTCTTGCCTGTCGCCATCAATGCTTTCAAAATTTAAAATAGCTTCCACTATCTGTTGTGTGTCTGATGTGGCAGAGTTGGATGCAAAATCTAAATATGGGCGAGCACGAGACCAGAACTAGAACAAAGTCAAAAATCTGGCGGACTGTTAAAGAAGCATATTTTAAATGGAAGCAAAAGATTTTGATCGATGCAGGGATCGAACCTGCGATCCTCTGCGGTTCAGGAAACCCTGTAAAGCAGATGCCTTGAACCACTGGGCCAATCGACCATTGAAGCTGTTGATTGATGATTGGATAGGTCATCTGAATGCTTATCATGCGCGAGCTTGAGCCAGCCGAGGTGAGCTGAGGTCTGAGCGGCGCGCGGGGTAATTTTATTTTGCTTCGTCTACGCTTCACAAAAGATTTCCTAGCGACTTGCTCGGTCGATAGTTCTACGCCTCTTCGAGTTTGACTCGTCTAAACCAGTTCAATGCGCTTGAAAACCTTTCCGGTAGTGTTACTGAGCTCTTTGTCCCCTGTGTGTAGCGGCCCGATAACTTCATAAGTGTTAGGAGCACTGGTTTCCCGTAGCAGGAGCGGGGTTTCATTTGACCTCCTCAGACAAATGAAGTCACCAGTCTGACAAGGTGTATTGCCCGAACACCATCCCACAAAGCCATCTTTGGTAGCAAAGAAATGCGAACCCATGACATGTAATCCGATGCGCTGTAGTCGCTGAATATCAAGCATTTTCGAGGGATCAAACTCCTGAAGGATGTGTTTCAATTCCTTGAAGTCTCTACTCCCAAGCATTGTTGGCCACAGTACATCTGGGTCCAGCGAGCGGCGCTCGGCGATAGGTTTGATCAACGTCTTCTCGATATCCTCGATACGTTCGACAACCCGGCTAGGGTCAAAAGAAATGTCCACGGTTGGGAGAACAATTTCGCAGTAGTCTGTCACAACTGCTGTGATCTTCAGGGCCTGGCCGTCTTCTGATAATTCTGGGTTGTCGTCGGGATTGTCGTGAAGAAAATGCGTCGCGCCTGATTGACAGACACGCAAATTTGATATCCAGGTTGGCATCCCCGGCAATCGTCGTTCGACGCAGGCGTAGGTAATGATGCGGGTTCTTTGAGTGTGCTCAATGATAAGTCTTGTGATGTCGGCGAAAATCTGCCCAACGGGTCGATTGTAGTCCACAACAGGCAGGTCCAAGTCGGGAAAGCTGGTGTTTACGGCCTGAAGCAAGCCGTAGATTCCGTACACACGGTCTTGGAGAATGGAGGACCATCTCCCGCCGGTGTAAAAGAGCACACTCTCAAGCATTTGACCAGGGTTATCAAATCTCGGAATGTCTGGGTCATTCGGATTCTGAGCCCATCGTCTCATGTCGATCATAGATTTCAAGTTAGGAGTTGAACCGCGAGGCATACTTGTTTCCGCAAATTCGTAAATCTCTTCCAGCGTTGCAGCACCGATTGAGCCGTGCAAGGTGTGAAGAAGGATGGGGGGTTTTCTCGCCAATGCCGCCTCCTGTACAGTCCAGATTCGTTCGAACCAAGGATGAAATCCAAACCACCGCATAAAATCAGCCAGTCCCTTGTTTGCGTCCGATACGTTGCTAGGCTGGATCATATACCCCTGCCAGGACATCATACGCTCACTACTGGACGTCCAGTGCTCGTTGGTATACAAAAAGACGACGACCCGCTCTGCTGCGCCGTAGACGTTTATCATGCGCGGCACCTGACGGCTCTTCTCATTGTCATCCTTTTGGTTGATGCAGATGGCATCAACCCAGATCGAAAAGGGCGGCGAGAGAAGGTCAAGCGACGGCATGCATCGAAAGGTTTCCAGGGCTTCGTAGAGGCTTTTTGTGACCAGGAATGGAGCTCCATTGACTTTGATAGGCCGACGGTCGGTTTGATCACCCCACACGTAAGAAAGTGCGTGATATCGTGGGTTTTCGCTGAGGTCAACGGTGCGAAGCTGACACTGAATGCAACCCGTGCCGGGCCTGATGCGAAGAAGACGGATTTGCGTGTCCAGAAGGGGCTCGTAAGGGAGCCCGGCAGTGATCCGTACCCGGACTGCACCCTGTAGTGCCCGAGTGAATCTCCGGCGGAGCGGAATATATCTCCGGCGGCGCATGTTGAGCGATGAATCTTTTGGACGAAATGATGAAAAGGTAGGTAGGTTGGAGGAAACGCGCAGTACCTTATGTTTTGGGGATTATCCCCTTATCTATGCGCGCAATCATCTAAGATCAGTCTCAGGCTGACTTGGCTGGCCAGGTTCGAACATGCTCGTTTGCTGTGACATTCATCGGTCACGTGGCATTATATAGTCAGATAAAATTTCCTACCATTCACGAAATCTTCAACCCCTCCACTCACTTTCGGCACTCCCAATCACCACCGTCACACACGCAAAAATCGACACCACCCGACGCTTTGAACCTCCCACAATGGCTCGCGTTAAGAACAAGGCAAGCGACACCCTCGCTCAGCGTCTGGCTCTCGTCGTCAAGTCCGGTCGGATCTCCCTCGGGTACACCAGCACCAAGAAAGCCCTCCGGACTGGCAAGGCCAAGTTGGTTCTCATCGCCGCTAACTCGCCTCCTCTTCGCAAGTCGGAGCTCGAGTGTAAGCTGACATCTTTCTGGGTTGTCGGATGAGACCGAGACTAACGTCGCATCATACAGACTATGCCATGTTGGCCAAGGTCCCGGTCCATCACTTCAACGGCACCAATATCGAGATGGGAACCGCCTGCGGTCGTCTCTTCCGCTGCAGCACCATGGTCATTCTCGACGCCGGCGACTCCGACATCCTGGCCGACCAGTCCCTCAGCGGTTAGGGTTCTGCGCGACAGCTTTCACGGTACGTCCCCCGCGTGTGCAGAAGCATTCTGCGAAGCGTGTTCACCCACGTGGAGAATGTCGACTGACACATTTCCCCCATTCAACAGAGCGGCAGATGCTGCGATGGCCTCCGAACCTACGGTACGTTGCCCGAGTCAACCGTAAACATTCTGCGAAGCGTGTCGCACCCGAGCACAGCACGTGGAGAATGTCGACTAACAGATCTTCCCTCGACAGCAAGTGGTAAGAACTTGCTAGGAGATCTGATCCTACGGTACGTCGACCCCCAAATCACCTGGAAATCCTGCGAAGCATGCTCAATGTGTATGTGGAGGATGTTTCCTGCGAAGCGTGTTCGTGCCGAACATGTGGAGGATATCACGACTAACCTGACGGTACCCTTAGATCATGAAAAATAGGCTAGGATGCTTGCATTCGATTCCTGCGAGAACATGGTTCTCTGCCCTACGACAACGGAACGTGAATGTTGTAGCTAGTAGTTAGATCAAAAGACAAAATTTCTCGAGCCCAAGGTGCCACACATCATCTCCGTCATGTGAATTACCAGCAGTCCATCTCTAGACACAGTGGGCTGGGTCCTGCCATTTCTGGAATGCTCAATCTGTCAAATTACTCCAGGTGTTGGGAAGAAATTCGTTTATCGGAATCCTTTTACACAAGGATCATTAACCTGACTAATCATTGACGTCCCATCGTCGCAAACAGGAGTCTGTATGAAGAAACATCATATAATCAACTTAGCCTTCGATCGCCTTTACCCAGCAATCTCTTTGGCTTTTATCTGACAAGTAATCGTGCAAGTCTTATCTGCTCTCCCATCGTGTCTTTGGGCCAACAATGCTCTGACACAAGCCCCTTCCCATTCTCAAACACCAGCCATCTACCTCTTCCGGACGCTATTGTGAGCCGCCGTCACGATGAGGGTTCTGGATACGACGACCCTAGAGCTCGTGGAGTTCCACGACCTACCCCTCAAACCTTACGTGACTCTATCTCACACGTGGGGCCGGGGCGAGGTCACCTTTCAAGAGATGACGGCCCTACACGCCGAAGAGGGCAGCAGCAAACGGCGTAAAGCCGCCATCCGACAGAAACGCGGGTTCCGGAAGATAAGCACGACCTGCGCCAAGGCGAGGGACGACGGCTTCGCCTACGCCTGGGTCGACACCTGCTGGTCAGACCGCCCGCCTCCCGCCGTGTAGCAGGCCCGCATGCTCCGATCAGACTGACCGAAAGCCCCTCCCATACAGCATCGACAAGACGAGCAGCGCGGAGCTCTCCGAGTCCATCAACTCCATGTTCCGCTGGTACCAGGAGTCCGCGATATGCTACGCCTACCTGGTCGACGTGTCTACCGCCGACGACGTCGTCGACGTCTGGGACGAGGCCCGCTTCGACCGCGACGGGCTGTTCGCGGCGAGCCGCTGGTTCACCAGGGGCTGGACGCTCCAGGAGCTGCTTGCGCCCGAGGTCGTCGAGTTCTACGCCGCCGACTGGACCGAGATCGGCACCAAGTCATCTTTGGCATCGCGCATCGCCGGCATCACGAAGATCGACGTCGACGTGCTGGAGGGGAAGAAATCCATCAGGCGTCGCTGCGCGGCGGAGCGGCTGTCGTGGGCCGCGGCGAGGCAGACCACCCGGATGGAGGACATGGCCTACTCTCTACTTGGAATCATGGACGTGAACATGCCGCTGCTGTACGGGGAGGGCAAGCGCGCTTTCATGCGACTGCAGGAGGCCATGCTGAAGGAGAGGGAGGACTACTCCCTGCTGCTGCCGAACCTGGCGACGTACATCACGGCGATGCTCAGGGAGACCGTCTCGCCTCCGGGGGACGTCACCGTGTCGTTGGGCGAAGACTCGAGCCGGGCTCCCCCGCTGGCCGAGGACCCGAGTGATTTCCGCGTGGAAGACCCGAGCATCTGGTCGTACGCCATGGTCGACTACTGGACGGCCACGGAATCCGCGATGGGCACGGAGAGCCACCACGCGCCGTATCTCAGTCCCAGAGGCCTTCAGATCTGTCTGCGGCCGGGCGGCGAACCCGGCGGCGCGAACGATTCGAAGCGGTTGATGTCGCGGCGTTTCGACACCTATTGTAGAACGATGAACCACTGCATCTTCATCGGACTCAGCGGCAGTCCCATCGGCAGCAACTTCGTGCGCACGCGCGCCTTCGACTTGGTCCCCTTCGACGGGAGGGACAGGTCCTGGAAGCGAAACATCATCAACAGGTTCCAGAGCATCTGCATCCTCCAGCTCGGGACCAGGGCGCTGACGCACAGGAGCCAGCGCAACTTGAGGTTAGGAGAGGGTGTTTCGTCGTCTGGGTGGATCGTGGACGCCTCTTCTCTTTCTACCCTGGAGATGGTGTGGTTCGACGAACTAGATGACAACTTGGCAATCGGGCCCGAGATATGGCAACGAGTTGTTGCCATGGGATGGTGCTATGGAGCTCCGGGAGAGGCTGGACCTTTTCTGTTCGCCGTGGGTGACCACTGGTCTGCGATATTAACACAGAGCGAATGTCGAAGTCGTGGTATTGTAACGGGCAACTCGGAACGGTGTACGGCGGCAATGACAGATGCGATTCGCACCAAAGTCTCTGAAAAGGGCCCGGACCGACAGTTCATTCGTCTCCGGGAAGTCGTTATTCAGGTCACGTTTAGAAATACCGGCGCGGACGAAGCCATCGGCACACTCACGCTCACAGCTCATTGGAAGACGAAGTAGAGTTATGATTTCGAGCTGATATTTAGATCTTACGATACTAGAGTAGAATTGTAATCCGGCATCTAGATCCCATGATTCCAGATCAGACTTCCAAGCAAATCTCTGTGTCGTTGTAGTAAATTTGCGAGTACGTCTACAAATACGTGATATCATTCGCAGTCGTGTCATCGCCGATCTCACTCCCCGCTCGTCATCCGCGCCCTTGTCTACAAAAACAGGTAGGCCGTGAGCATCGCCATCGCATCGTCTATAAAAGACAAAAGCTTCCTCGAGAATGCTGCCTCACCTTCCAAGAAATTCTGCTTCATTGCTATTCACAGAACACCGCAGCTTTTAGAGTCTTCATCCCAGCATGTCTTACCCAGACCTAACCACCTTCAAAGCCCTCTCCTTCGACTGCTACGGCACTCTAGTCGACTGGGAATCCGGTCTCCGTACCGGTCTAGAACCAATCCTATCCCGAATCCCGCCCTCAAGCACCCAAGACCAAACCTTGGACCAGCTCGCCCTGCGTTTCGACACCCTCTCCTCAGAGCTGCAAGTCTCCGAGCCAACCCTCCGCTACGACATCAACCTCGCGCGCTCCTTCTCGACCCTCGCAGATGAAGTAGGAGCCCCCGTCACGCCCTCGGAAGCAGAGCACTTCGGCAAGCTCCCGGGCACCTGGCCGGCCTTCCCCGACACCGTCGCCGGGCTGGAGATCCTGAAGAAGCACTACAAGCTCATCATCCTCTCCAACATCGACCGCGCCAACATCTCCGGCTCGCAGGAGCGCCTGCGGCCCGTCGAGTTCGACGGCGTGTACATCGCCCAGGACATCGGCAGCTACAAGCCCTCGCACCACAACTTCGCGTACCTCTTCGCGCGCGCCGCGGACGAGCTGGGCGTGGACCGGGAGAGGGGGGAGTTGTTGCACGTCGCGAGGAGTCTCACGGCGGATCATGTGCCTGCGAAGGAGCTGCGGCTGAGGAGCGTGTGGATTTCGAGAGGGGGGGAGACGAAGGACGGGGAGGGGGTCGGAGGGGACTATGAGAAGTTGAAGGGGGATGTTGCGTTTGAGTGGCGGTTTGATACGATTGGGGATTTTGCTGAGGAGGTTGATAGGCAGTTTCGCGAGAAGGGTCTGTGATCACATGAGCGTGAGAGTTATCTATGCGCAATACACGTCTGTAGTCTATTTGTTCTTCATCGGAGGATAATTCGGAATCGTAACAATTCATCAGGAAGAATCCCAAACGGACTCCTCGCCCACGCCGCTCGTCTCGTCGCCGCTCTGGAGCCTCTTGCCGCGATAATGCCTCTTGCGCTTCCTGTGCCCGGTGTCCTCCGCCCTCCACCCCTTACGCGCCCGGATCGGCTTGAGGAAACCATCGACGTGCACCGCGCCGTGCATCTCGTTTTCGCTCTCGACCTCGTCGACCTCCACCGCCTGGCCCGGATGGACCCGCGTAACGTGCCTCTGCAGATTCGCCTTCCTGTCGAAGCCCTCCAGGGATCTCTCGCAGCCCGCGACGGGACAGTAGAACAGCCCGACCGACGACGAACGCGACGCGCTGCGACGTCTGCTCGAGGCCCTCGACCCGGCTCCCTGGGCTTCGGTGTCGGTGGGCGGGGCACTATCCCGTCCCCGACTCCGCTGTCTCTTCCCGACGCCTCGGAAAGGCACCGGCCCGCCCTCCTCGTCCGAGCTCGAGAACGAAGCTACGCGGGGACGGGTGTTGGGGAGGTACCTCTTCCTCTGCGGCTTCGGTCCCTTAGACGCCGGCCCCTCGAGGAGAGTCTGCATCTCCATGCCCTGCCCGAAGAGATCCGCGCATCGCTGCGCCGCCCGGGCGACGACCTCGGGTTTGAAGCCGGAGATCGAGGCAGCGCCGATGATGTCGCTCCAGTCACGTAGACCCCAGTCTCTGAGCATGTTTTCCCTGTGCCTGGTTCTGGCTTCCAGCCTGGCTTCGGGCGGCAGGTCGCGCTTCTTCCTCGGAGACCTGGACTTCTCCGGTGATGTGTCCCGAGCGGTGTCTTCTGCCGCGTCCTCATCATCATCGCTGGCAGCGTCCGCGGGTTCCGCGACTTCACCCTGCTCACCATTCCCGTCCTCGCGGTTGTTGTCTTCCTCCGACGAGAAAGGAATCCTCTTATGCTGCTCCCTCGCGATCCGAATCATCATCTCCTTCTCCGTCTCCCCCGGCAAGGGCGCGTGCGCCTTTCTCGGCCGGCCTTTTCTCTTCTTCCCGCCCTGTTCCGGCTCGGGCGTGCGAGGCGTTTTACTCCGTGGCCGACCCTGCTTGCTGCGCTTTTTTGGCGAACCGCGGGAAGACCTCGACGTCCGCGATCCCCGCGACGTAAGGCTGCCCGCGTCGGAACCCTCAGATGCATCGGAGACGTCCGTCGCCGAGGCCGAGGAGTCGGTCATGTAGCTCAAGCCCGCCAGGCGCGCGTTGTGCAGGGTAGTGAGGGTGTTGTCCATCATGGACAGGATGTGCCGGACGGAAGGGCGGAGGAGGTCCGCGGAGAGGTCGTCGTTGGCGGACACGACCGCCTCGTACGTCTTCGTCGTTGGTTTCGGGGTTTGGTCGTCGGTCGCCGCGGCCACCTTTGTCGGATCCTCTTCGGCGGAAGACCCGTCGCCGTCTTCCGTCGTGAATTCGGACTGTGAATAGGCCGACTGCGAGTGCGCTGCCGTCGTTTCGTCCGCGGCGGCCTCTTTTTGTCGGTGCTTATCCTGCCGACGACGGAAGCGCTCCTTTGCCTGTTTCAGAATGGTGGCGGTGAGCTCTTCTTCCAGAACTGTGCTGGGTAGCTGCGGCACGCCTGAGCGGACGGTGAGGTCGTCGTCCTGGTCGTGCGTCTCCTTCATGAAGTCGTCACCGGGAACGTCTTTGACGTTCATCGGCCATGCGGTCCATGTATTTGGCGGACGCCAGTCCGTTTTGTCCGCCCTGTCCCGAAGCGCTTGATCTGCGTCCTGCGAAGATGTGTCAGTCGCGGAGGGTAGTGAGCAGGGTGGTACGGCCGCCAACTCACCTCGGTGTCTGGGTCCGTTGCGCTGTTGCTGTTTGCTTGGATCTTGCGGTTCTTCACCGCAAATGTGTTGTACAGATGGACGGAGAGATCGCGGTTGCGGAGCTGCTCCATGGAGCGGTGCAATAGGCGTTCCTCTTCGGTGAGGGTGCGCCATGTTGCTGCGCTGCCCTTCCAGCGGTTGGGTCTGGTCTCGCGAAGCTCATCCGAATCGATTGAGCGAATCTCATCGCTATCGAGGTCCCATGATTCCTCGTTGGCGGTCATTCTGCCATGCCGCAAGCGCAAGTGGGTGTAGTGATGATTTGTGAGATTCTCGAATTCTGATTGATTTTGCCGGTCGCCAAAACAGAGTGTGATGAGTTTAGTCTACGATGCTGTTGACATCCAAGTGTAAAAGTGAGGTGAAGAGATGAAAAAACTGGAGCTGCCCACATACACCGAAAAGTATCAGCACCTTTGGGTCGGACTTGCTTCGCATCTCTCAATACCACCAGATAGGCAACGAATCAACACAAATTCATGGAGCGTTTGAAGCGTCAATTTACCGCGAAATGTTACTGTCTCAAGCAAATGAATTTCTTTTCCCAACACCACAATTATGGTATAACAAACGCCAACTACAGTCTAAGGAGGAAACTAGATACTGCTTTTACTTTATGCCTTGCCCTTCTTGTTCAGCTCCTTCTCCAGCTTTCTCCTCTTGGACCGCAGCTTCTCGTCCACCGCGCTCTTCTTGTTATTAGTGTACTGCATCTGCTCAAACAGCTTCCTCTTCTTCTTGCTGAGCATGCCCTTGGCGCGCTCGATGTCCTCGGCCTCCTCCGCCATCTTCTTGGCGTGCGCCTTGCGCGCAACCTCCTTTTTGGTCTTGGGCTTCGTCTCCCTGGCCTTGACGCTACCGCCAGCAAGCTCGGCTTCCAGCTCGATCTGGCGCTGCACCTCCTCGTCCTCCGACATCTCCTCATCCTCGTCGGCGGAGGGGGCCTCCTCGTCATCGTCACCTTCCTCCTCATCCTCCTCGTCGGAGCCGGCGACCTCCATGTCGTTGTCGGCATCCTCCTCGTCGACCTCCATATCGTCGTCGCTCTCGGCAAGGGCCTCGCCCTCGGGCTCCTGCTCCTCGAGGGGAACAGTCGGGTCGTAGGCACCCTGGACCTGCTGGACGAAGGGGCTGAGATGGGGAGGCAGCTGGGCGCCGGGGGCGTACTGGTCCGCGGGCTTCAACTCCTCGTCGTTGACGCTGTCCCAGACCCACTGGGGCTGGACGTATATCCTGCCGGGAATGCGCTGGTTGGGCGCCAGCTTCTGGGACGTCTGGTTGTCCTCTCCATCGCCTTCCTCGTTGTTCGCGGCGACCACCTGGGGACGGTCGACGATCTGGTGGGTGATGGCGGGGTCGCGCTCGTTGGTCGTGAAGGCACCCTCGCCGTGGACGGCGTCCCAGCCGATGCGCTTGCAGCCGAACGACCGCAGGAGGAACTCGAGGGGCTGTCTCGGGGACTCACGCGAGATGAAGAAAGTGCAGTTGGCGAACAGCTTGCCCCTGTCGGAGCTGGAGTACTCGGGCTGGGGGAGAACGTCGCCACCGGGCGCGGCGGGCTCGAACCTGTCGATGGCGTCCGTGGGCGCCTCGCTGGACTCGGCCTGCTCCTCGGGCTTGCTCTCCTCGACGTCGGTATCCTTGAGCTTCTTGATGACCTTGTTCACCTCAGCCTGGGTCTTGGGGTCGACCTGGTGCTCGGTCTCGACGTTGGTGATCTGCTTCTTTTCGGGGGCGGCGAGGTTCTGGCCCTCGATGGTGAAGGCGCCGAGCTCGGCGGACTGGTCGTCCTTGTTCTTGTCGAACTTGGGCGGGTACTTGAGGCCGATTGAGGTGTACAGGCGGAAGTTGATGAAGCCCAGCAGCGTCATGTAGAACTCGACGAAAGTGCCCATGATGCGGAAATCGACGTCGCCAACCACCCTCTGGTTGAACTTGTAGGGAACCAGCCACAGAATGTCCTCGCCCTGGATGTTGGCCTGGTAGTAGATACCCTTGATCGACAGGAAGGACTTGGTGACGGCCTGCGAGACGATGAGGTAGTGCTGGAACTCGAGGGTCAGGCGCTCGCAGCGGGCGATCATCTTGGCGGGAACGGACGAGGTCGAGGGCAGGTTGGCGAACAGGAACAGCATGGAGAGGCAGTCGTCGAGGTCGCGGATGGCGTCGACAAAGGTCGGGTAGCGCTCGCGGATGACATGATCGAGGGTGTATCTCGGCTTGCCGGTCTCCTCAGGGCGGGCGGCGTTCTTCTCGAGCCTCTTGGCATCGCCGACGTTTCCACGGCCGAGGGCGCGGGAGATCTTCTTCTCGAGGGACTTTTGGTCGCGGAACTTCTGGAGCAGAGGCTCGTGAAGGAGGTACTGGATGTCCTTGGCGTAGTAGAAGGTGGTGGAGGCGGTCGAGGACTTGGAGACCTTCTTCTTGCTGCGCGGCTCGCGAGGGTAGATACCCTTCCAGATGCAGAGCTTGCGGAAATCAGGCAGGCTGATTTGCAGCTTGCGAATGGCCTGGTTTCTGGTGACGTAGTTCTTGGCCGCTCCGGCCTGTCCCTTCTTCTTGATCTTGCCCATCTTGGTTGTTGTGGCTGACCGAAATTGAAAAGTAAAGGGTGTTTGAGATGGAAGCTATCAAAACTTCTAGCCGTGGCGGGGCGCATCGCTTTCTCGACTCTCTCTGAACTTTTTTTTTTCGATTGATTTTTCTGCCGGGTTCACCGCCTCGATATCGGACTCGAAAGGATTAGCGGGGATTCTACACGACGCCCATTGGCTTCTCTTATCTAATCGGTGGAACCGCCCCAGCTTCAGGGGTTCAACCCGCTAAAACCAGAGCGACCGCGCTGAAAGCTAGGCTGCTATTCGCTGATTGACGAAGCTCACAGCTACCCGCGTCCCAGCGGACCACTGCCCCGGTCCAGCCAGGTGTCATCCCCCGTTCCTTGTCCATCCCGAGTCCCGAACTGCCCCCCATCAAACCGCGAACCTCAAGCTCCGTGCCGCCGCGTCCAACGACCACGCAACGTCCCGGCCCCTCATTGCAGCATCCCGATTCCGCCTCCCTCCTCCTCCTCCGGGCCATGGACTGAACGCACAATGACCGCCGGCACAATGACTCAGGGAGGCAACAAGACGGGCGTCTTCGCCGCCGCGGCTGCCCTGCGTCTGCTGCTCTTCGTTGCGTTCCCGGGCCTGCCTGACCTGCTCACCGGTCGCGTCGAGATCTCGACCCCCGTGACGAGCTTCAAGAGACGTGAGTCGTCCCACCGTGTTATCGCAAGACCCATTGGCTAACCAGATGTGTGCGCGCAGTGCAAGAAGGCCTCTTCCTCTACAACCACAACGTCTCCCCCTACGATGGCGGCGTATACCATCAAGCGCCCCTCTTCCTCCCGCTCTTCTCCCTCCTCCCGGACCCGAAGTCCTTACCGATCTTCACGTACCTCCTCTACATCCTCTTCGACATCCTGAGCGCAGATGCCCTCCTCAAGATCGCAGACTCGGGCGAGGCCGGGTCTTCACGACTCTTCACCTCCCCACGTCGCGGCAAGAAGTGGAGTGGCGTCGTCGTAGCATCTCTGTAAGCCGAATCCCTACTCACGTCTTCCAAGAAGCTTCCACTGACAATCTTCTCCCCCGCAGATACCTCTTCAACCCCTTCACGATAGCAACCTGCATCGGCCGCTCCACCTCCGTCTTCTCAACATGCGCCATCCTCCACGCCATCGCGAAAGCCATCTCCGGCGCCCCCCTCGGCGCAATGGTCGCCCTCTCCTTCGCGACCTACTTCTCAATGTACCCCCTCCTCCTCCTCCCGCCCCTCGTCCTCCTCGCCTACGACCGCCAAGACCCCTCCCGCCGGACCGCCTCCTCGACGCTCCTGCCCTTCGCCCTCGCCAACGCGGGCGTCGTCGCCGCCGTCCTCGCCGCCCTCTTCCTCATGTCCTTCCTCCTGACCGGCGGCTCCTGGGAGTTCCTCAGCAGCACCTACGGCGCCCAGCTCACCCTCAACGACCTCACCCCGAACGTCGGCCTGTGGTGGTACTTCTTCATCGAGATGTTCGACTCCTTCCGCTCCTTCTTCCTCGCCGTCTTCTGGCTGCACCTCTCCAGCTACGTCCTACCCCTGACGATCCGCGTCCGCTCCCAGCCCCTCGTCGTCCTCACCCTCCTGCTCGGCATCTTCGCCATCTTCAAGCCCTACCCCTCCATCGCCGACACGAGCCTCTTCCTCGCCATGCTGCCCCTCTTCCGCCACGTCTTCCCCCTCATGAGGTACACCTTCGTCGGCGCCGCCACCATCATGTACGCCTCCTTCCTCGGCCCCGCCTTCTACCACCTCTGGATCTACGCCGGCAGCGGCAACGCGAACTTCTTCTACGCCATCACCCTCGTCTGGAGCCTCGGCCAGAGCCTGCTCGTCAGCGACCTGACCTTCGCCGTGCTGCGCGACGAGTGGGAGCTGGAGCGGCCCGAGATGGTGGGCAAGGAGATCCGGCAGATCTAGGGCGGCTGACTGGGGCTTTTCTGCGGCATCACTACCGGCGTTTTTTATGAGAATACATCTTGTGTGTTTCACATGATATTAGGGACTGCATGGGAAGCGTAAAAGGCGGTTTCATGAACGGGGTAATCGTTTGTTAGAATAAATGAGACGGTAGTGTCTGTACGAATATGCTTGAGACGTGTCTCGGAACTTTTGTCCTCTATAATGCTTTTGAAGTGAGGGTTTGCCTTCTTTTGGGCTGTTGATATCAGCCATCTATTCATCCCTTTGTGAGCCATTCTAACTTGAGGCCGTTATCATCGTACATTTTTCATCCCTCTAATCAACGCTCAACTCGGACTCGACAACCTTGTGCTCCGAGCCGGCACCGAAGCCCCCTCCCCATCCAGCATTCGGACTCGCCTGCGGCGCCGGTTCCGCAAGCCCAAACGAAAAGTCCAACATGGCGCCCAGCTCCCCGAACTTGCTAAGCCCCCTCTTCTCGGCCATCCACGTCTGCGTCCGCGCGCCCCACGTCGGGAGCCCCCTGTACGTCCACACGCCGTAGGCGATCGCCGTGCCCGCGGCCAACACGCCGCCCGCGAGCGCGAGGGTCCTCCGGTCCGCGACGCCGCGGGCCTTCTTCTCGGCCCGGAGCCGCCACTCGCTCACGTACGCGTCGCCGAGGTTCGGCGTGGCCTGGACGACGTTGTCCAGAAAGCGCGCCGCGGTGCGGAGGGACGAGGTCGGGGCGGGGGTCCAGGGGAGAGGGCCCGGGCTGGCGAGGCACGCCTCGCGGAGTTGGTCGACCATTTCGCAGAGGTGGGGGAACTTGTTGGAGAGGATCCTCTGGAGCCAGTTCTGCGGGGTCTTGACTGCTCGGACAAGGACGAGGTGGCCGAAGACGAGGCAGTCGAGGGAGGTCGGGACGTCGCCGTCGAAGAAGCGCGCCTTGTCGCCTTTCCTGGTCTCGCCTTTCGCCCGCTGCTCCTCCAGCGGGGTGAAGGTGTCGATGGTGGTGGCGTGCATTCTGATGCCCTTCGCCGACCTCGCCTTCATCTCCTCCATGACGCTCTTCTTCCCGGAGGAGGAGGTCCCCGCAACGGGGAGGTGCTTCATCGCGCGGTCCAGGGTGCCCTGGCTGGACGACCCGGTCTTGAGGTCGTTCTCGTCCTCGTCCTCCTCGCCGAGGGACCCGAAGCCGAGGTGGGCGCTCCGGGCGAGGGCCTGGTTGCGGAGCTGGACGGGGACGGTCCAGCTGAGCGGGAAGCCGAGGACGCGGCTGAGGGCGGGGCGGGTGACGGCGGACCAGTTGTCGTGGTCGGCGTAGAGGTAGGCGTCGAGCAGGGGCGCGACGTGGGACTCGACGTAGGCGCCGAGGGCGAGGGCGTCGGCGCGCTCGGACGGCGACAGGCGCGAGTCGAGGTCGAGGTCCCAGGAGGGGGAGTGCGGCGAGAGGGAGCGCAGGTGGGACACGATGGAGACGTAGCCTGTTACGTAGGCGCCGTTGGCTCTGAGGGCGGGAAGACGGTCTGCAGTGAGTGAGTGAACGGTTAGCCCGGGGCGTTTCGTTTTGTGTGCGGTTCACATTGTGTTGCTGTGTTTCTTTGTTTCGTTTTGTTTGGGGGGCTTCTTTGCTGGTTCTTTGTTCCTGGCAGTCGAGGTCGCGTGGGTATAACGGTATAAGCCACGTTTGAGGTTTCTGTGGTGAGAGGGGTGAAGGGAGGATTCGCGTGGGATTCCGTCAGGGGGTGTGTGTGAAGATGTGAGATGGGATGTTGAGGTGGGTTTTGTGAGTCAGAAAGGGGGTGTAAGTGAGCGTGAACGTCACTTACTAGATGAGTCGACGGCAGGGTCGTTGCTCGGGACCAGACGCCATTCAGAGCTGGGCAGGGCGGTGTGAAGGTAGGCGATGGCGGCGAGGCACTCGGCGTCGATGGATGGCAGACCAAAGGCCGGGCCCCAGACGTGGAGCTCGAGAGGCTCCATCTCCGTCGGTTGTGAATGAGAGTGAGAGTGAGTGTGAGTGTGAGTGTGAGTGAGTGAGTGGTGAGACGGAGTGACGGTTGAACTCCAACGGCAGCAGTAGCCGAGCGCGTATTTCCAGGTACCCAATTCACACCCGACGTTTCTCTCGCAGGGCCCTGATCATCCGCGTGCTAAGCGTCAAGCGCCGAGAAATGACGGTGAATTGTGACGATGGAGGCGTCTGGCTTGCCGATGAGTCAACTTCAACACCTACGTCTGCCAATCTCCCCCGATGAAACGGATCAGCGCTTGTTTTGAAGGACCCGGGAATCCCACTCGCGCCGTCGATCGTGGTACACAGACAGTGACGACGTCGACTTTTGGTGAATTAGGATCGATCAGAAAAGAAAGCAAAGGAAGAAAAGATGGGACCCTGAACTTCTGGTCCCGCTGACGCAGCAGCCTGGCGATCTCTCTTTCCCCGTCCGAGCTTCAACTCGCGAGGTTGCGAGTGGCCCCACTATCGCGCCCGCACGTGATGATAACGTGATAAGCAGAACTAAGGTTAACGCCGACGGCGATCAATTCTCCATCTTAACCCCTGCCTGCCCTGATCCCGTCACGTCCCCCCCTCCCCGGGCCGTCTCCTTCACATCTCGGGCTGATCAAACCCGCCATGCCTTGCCGCCGCCGAAAAGAGAGGGAGTTTTGATAAAGAACGGGTTTCCCAATCTGGAGAGACGTGCAGTTCGGCTGCAACACAACGCTTTCACCCCTGACGATCTGAGAAGGGAGGCAAAAAAAGACAGAAAAAAAACGACTACTGGAATTTCGAAACCTCTAAAACACGCCAGCCGTCGCCGCCTCAGAACGGTAGATCATCGAGCCACGTTTCTATCGCGTATGCAACGTATGTTTCCACCGGTCTGTCTTCGGTTACATGGCCCGTCTGTCCGTTGCGAATGGAATGTATTTCTGCGAGCCACGTCTAGCTTGCAGTAGACATGCTCGTCCTAATCCTCAAAGGAATATCCATCCCCATGAGCCGTCAAAACGGTTCAGGTACGCGCAACTTTTCCTACCCCTTCGCCACTGGTGTCGTCCGTTGCGAAAAGCCGCAATCTAATCCCGTCTGATAATCTTCCCAAAACGACACTAGAACTGATGGAAAATCCTTCTCCAAAACGCGGACGCCAGATTGACAAGCAAACCGCCATAGTAGATCGTTGAGCCGAGCCACACCCCTGTTTCACACAAATTCAAACAAACCACGGCCTTCTGTCTCTAAGTGGAGAGTGTGTGAACTGCAGGGGACATATCGTCAGTGATCAACCCTACTTCTTTTTCCTGGGGAAGCCAACCGATGAACGGCGTCAGTTTGACGAAGAAAAAAAGGGATTTTGACGTGCCAGCCTTGTCCTTGTTTCGTTCTTTTCCCGACATGCCACATTCCTCAATCTTCGACCTTTAACTAAATCCATAACTGCGGCACCTTAGTTGAGCCTCTAAGCCACTCCCACCTTACGAATGCCACTCTTGATTAAACCCCTCGTAGTATAGCTGAACTAAACCAGCTGAAGAAGCCCTCATTTCCCTTCTACCCAACGACGGCAATAAAAGGGGGATAAAAAAGGGGGTGATGAGAGAGAGACGGAGTTTGACGACGAACCTCAACACCAAAGATCTGAAATGTGGCGGGTGGGGTCCGCCGCACCATCATCAATCACCAAAGTCCGCGCGGGTTTTGCCCACGGCAGCTCCGTCCTGCGCTACGTGTTTCTCTGTTGCATATTCAACTCCAGCCAAGAATGCTACCGGGTCGCCGGTCAGAATGGGTTTCTAATTTCACATTGCGTACTAACCGGCGTCCATCCTCTTAGCTCTCGCGCGGACGAAGTCAAGACCCTTGAACGAACGGCGTCACCAACGTCCGTGTGTGAGTTGGAGTCCGTCGTAGCTGAAGCTAAAAAAGAATTAGGGGTCCAAATTGGAATGGTCCCCCTTTTTTTCTTCTTCTTCTTCATTCCTCCCAAGGCTGAGCCTCATTCTTGCGGACAGAATAAGCAAACTAGACTTTGCCAGTAAAGAAAAGGGGCCCTGGGGTTATCATTCTTCAGTAATGTGTAGAGTTTATCCGTGTACAGCTGTCCTAAACAAAAAAGAAAGCCCACGAATGAATGCTTCGGTAGCATGTCTCCATATTGGGCGCATCGTACCAAAGTTTTATGGAATTCGGCTGCTGTGCGCATGAGGGCGGCTAATAAGGCCAAGCAATGATACCGCAGTAAAATACTACGCAACTCAATAGAGTGTGATGATGACCGCAAAGCCTACAATGATCCCAGAGATCCAATTATCCAGCTCAATAATACAACATATCAATCCTTTCGGGTATCAATGATCTCAAAAATCTCAACATACCCCGCGTCTCCGACGGGACCCCGGGATAACGGAGTCGACCCAACACGGAGCGAACGGCGGAACCAAGTAACGAAATTCGGCACGATTCCGTACCTTGCTTTTTCATTTTTACAATTATTACCAACAGCCGCGCATCGCGGGCCTTGTCGCAAGACGTGCTTGGCCCAGCTGCCGCAACGCCAACACCCACCCCCAGTCTCCTTCGCCCGCCCTAAGGCATGTGTATATCCTGCGCCCTCACTTAGGCGAGATGAGCAACGACCAGGAATTCCGATCGAGAACGGGTATTCAGCGCGCGCGCGCAAATGCCAGGCGCCCTACCCGCCCTCTGCCTTTTTCCCCCGTGCCTTTTCTTCCCGTACTCCGTACTCCGTAGAGGAACCCGAGGTCTTCCACCACACCCCCCGGTCAGTTGCCTCCCTCCATCACGAACGGGAAAGAGAAGCGGAAGATCTCAGATCATCTGCGGTGGGAAAGGGAAAGGAAAAGGGAAAGAGCGGTGGTATCCACACACACACACACACACACACACACACACACTGGTTTCCGATGACCTCAACGAGTATTGATGCGTCGGGACGGCGGTATCATGTTGACGAAGGATGGAATGGTGATGTGTTATTCCCCATGGTAAACATGCCCTACTCTCTCTCTGTGTAGATGGAGAATGAGTGTGATGAACTTCCCGCAATGAAGATCGATATCCAACCCCGGAAACCGATTGCCAAAACACAACGGCCGTATTCCGCACGCGCATCTGCGTCTCGTCTTGCGTGATACCGTCGCCGTCGTTTATGCGCGGGAACCTACCTAGCTCGCATCAACGCAGCTGATATCGAAACCAGCCCCAGGGGAGGGGAGGGGACGTCACTCCGAAAAGAAAATGGCGGTCGTCCAATGGGCCGCTACGACGTTGACAACAACGACAACGACCACCACCACCACCAGCTGCACCACCTACCTCGAACCCCGGCAGGCAGGAGGGGAAACATCGGCCGGCCCTTACAGATCGGCCCAGGAAAATCGTCGAAACCCCGCGCCGTTTGCGGCTGGGACGGGAAGGCGCGGAGAGGGCGAGAGGGAGGGGGAGCAAAAAAGCAAGGCAATTAATTCTTCACTCGCATGAGTGTCGAATGGTCCGCTCGCGCCATCTGTTGTCTCATAATCGTGAGGAGTCGGGTTCTGTGGTTCGCTTGAAGCTCTGCTCGTACGGGGATGTGCCTTCGCTTGCGTCTCGTGAGAACCGGTCAGCGAAGGCTAGGCATTCATTACCCCATGGGATTATCAGACAAGATGTAAGCGGGAGCTTTGACGAATTTCAGGATCAGGATTTTGGCACGGCGAATGAGACTGAGATGTGTGTAGTAATGGTTTGTGGTATTATGAATTTCTCATCTAGTACTGGTGGTCCTCAGTGGGCCCCAGTCTGACTGCAGAATTCCGAAAAAGAAACTCCCTTCTCTTCCCCAGCTTTTTATGTATCCTTCTCTCGCGCGCGCGCGTTGCTTGCTTCTTCGCTCATAACTTTCCGTCGAATCCATCCATCTCTCTGAGAAAAGGGAAGGGGGGTATCGGCGACGACAAAGTGGGAAAAACAATGAAAAGAACTAAAAAAACAGGGGGCCCAAACTCCGATCCGAGTTGCCCCGATACAATGCTGATGTCTATTGATACATGATGAGTTTGGAGAATTGTGCGCGTTTCTTCAAGTGTTCCTTGGTCCCGTAATGATGCTTTGCTCGTTCCGTTTGGTAGGTCATTGATTAAAAGATGGTTGTGTGGTTTGGTTGTTGGTAAGATATGTGGCGGCCACCTCGGTGAACGAAGGGTCGAGGTTGGCGATGATAGTACAAGTGCGGTGTTGGTAAATATTGCTCGGAGGCAATCAATGACGAAGCCAAGTTGGTAGATTTGCAGTGTGAGGTTCCTTTCAAGGTTGCGTGCAGAGAGCCCAGCTCCTGGGGACGCGGGCCTGCACGAAAGCAGAAAAGGGGGGGGGGAGGAGGTTGTTTGGTCGGACCATTCAGAGTGCGACGTCGCGCCTCGTGATCCGGCGTTGTCGTGATGCAGAGATGATGTTGTCGGCCGTCGCCAGGCTGCATGACTGAGAAGAGAGAGAGTTGCGATTGTTGCCCTCCGCCACCGGTGGTGTGGGTGGTGTGGGTTGGAGTGGTGGTAATCATGCATGGCCAACACATGGGAAATGGCGTGCATATTCGAAAGGCGTGGTAATCCCAATTCCATGCGGGCTGCCAGAAGGGGCCGGCTTGTTGGTGAAGAGGGTGTTATTCGTTCGCAGTTGATATCCAGGGCTGATTGTCGGGTCGAGGTCCCGTTCGTCCGGTGGTTGCGTCGAACTGCGAAGGCGCCAGTAGGTTTGTTTTGTATGATTCAGCTCACGGCTCCAGTAAGCCATTGAGAGAAGAAGAGTGATTTGCCGGAAGACTGAACAGTCATCGTCGGTTGGTTGCGAGGCTGTCGCCGCCAGGCCACACTCTCTTAACCTCTGGTGGGCAGGGGAGGGAGAGGGCGCTGAGGCGGGGGGCCGGGGCAGGGAGGGAGTTGCGAGGGGCGCTGGGCGGGCATGTTGATGATGTCGA